TGCAGCCGTCATTGTTGTTTGGCGGGCTAGGGTTGGATTCGAACCCACCACCTTGGCTGTACGTGGCTGGCGCCTTAGCCACTTGAGCCACAGGCGCTGAGCCTCAATTCTTAAGTATTTATGTTTTGTTTGCTTATAGTGTGTTCAAATAACAATCCAAACAAGGTCCACAATTGCATTTAGTTGAAGCTAGTTTCCTTTTAAGTCTCTTTCAGCCTCTGGTTTCCTCTGCATCTCCTTTTCCCCCTCTTACAACGTATTTGTTGACAAAACCAGGCTATTTGTCCTGTAGACTTTACCATCTGATTTCGTCTTTGTGGTACACATTCCTTTAGTGCTGAACTTGATTGACAATAAACTGGTTCAGTTTTGATTTTCTTGGCAAGATTCCTTCATGCTCTTAGCAGGAAGCACACAAGTCTTGCTTGTCTTTCCTCTTGTGACATAAGCAGCCTCCAAGTTCCACTAGAGACACAGTTTTTCTTTTCCAATTTTTCTTTTTTTTGAGACAGTCTCATTTTGTCGACCTCAGTAGAGTACTGTGGCATCACAGCTCACAGCAACCTCAAACTCTTGGGCTTAAGTGATTCTCTTGCCTCAACCTCCCAAGTAGCTGAGACCACAGGTGCCCACCACAACACCCGGCTATTTTTTGGTTGCAGTTGTCACTGTTGTTTAGTAGACCCATGCCAGGCTCAAACCCACCAGCCTTAGTGTATGTGGCCAGCGCCCTACCATCTTTTCCAATTTTTTAAAATTTTCAAATATATAGAAAGTTTGGAAGAACTGTACAGTGAACACTCTGAGATACTTTTTTTGTTTTGTTTTGCTAGAGACAGAATCTCCCTCTGTTGCCCCAAGCCATGGTGTCATATCTCACAACAACCTCAAAGTCTAGGGTTTAAGCGATCCTCTTGCCTCACCCTCCTGAGTAGCTGGGACTACAGCCCCTGTCACCATGCCCAGTTAGTTTTTCTATTTTTAGTAGAGACAAGGTCTCTCACTCTTGCTCAGGATGTTCTCAAACTCCTGAGCTCAAGGCGTCCTCCGGCCTCAGCTTCCCCAAGTGCTAGGATTATAGGCATGAGCTACTGCACCCCATCCAACAAACTCCTCTTGAGGCTATGCCTAGAACTGCCCCTAACTTTGGCTTTCTTAAAACTTTTCCTTGAAATCCCACCTCATCGCCTCAAGAACAGTGCCTGCAGTTCCCCTATTAACTTCCTGTCTTCATTCACACTGAGTCCCCCCCAGCAGCTAAGTTCATCCGGAAGGAGGTGTCTTCTGCCCCTCACACACAAGGCTTCCCAGTGCTGACAGCAAAGGAAGTGGGTGTGTTAGCATTTCCTGTGAGTTCAACTGGTAGTCAGCAGTGCAAGAGAGGCCTTTCCTGGTCTTGGTGGAGACCCACAGGTGGCAGCCACCTTTCTGTGCCTCACCTGTGTCCTCCACCTTAAGCCTTCAGGGCTAGAGCATCTCTCTTCCCCACCAGATCTGGCAAAGTACAGTTCCCTCCTCCCCCCAGACTTTTGCAATCTCAACCGCTGTGCTTCCGTTCCCCTGGGTGGCTCTGCTTCACCCCTGCTCTTTGGGGGACCTCCTAAAGGCAACTTCCTCCCTCAGGTCAGCTACCATGGTGCCCTCCTGGCCACTGCCGGAGCCCTGCTGGACACTGCTTCTCTCCCTGTTGCTGGTCTGCTGTCCGCTGCCCCCAGGTGAGACTGGTCAACCTGGGGAGGCTAAGGTTGGGGTGGATAGGTAGAGGGTGGGAGACCAAAGAAAGTGAAGCTCACCACATCCTGCTGTCCTAGTGTCCTTGGGAGAAAGTTCTGGCTCCTTAACTCAGCCTTCAGGTGGTCAGCTTCCCCCATCCCCAACTGGACCCCGGATCTTTACCTATGCAGTTCCTTCTGCCTAGATCAGTGTTTCTTTCACTTGGCTGCTCTTCTTTAGCCTTCAAAACTGATTGATGTTGTTCCTTCCTCCAGGAAGCCTTCCCTGACTTAACTCCTTCTATATGTTGGATCAGAGCCACCTCTGGTCTCTCTCTGAGCCCTCCTCCATTCCTGATGGATTCTCTGTCTTCCCTTCTGTACTGGGAGCATCATGAGGGTAGGGACCATATGTCTAAACTCCAGGATGGTATTAAATTGTGGTAACTGCTAATGGGTGGGGTGAAGTGTCACCTGAAAAACCATCAGAAATTCTTCATGTTCCCAAAGGTGCCCACGGGCAGGCATTCCCACTGCGAGTGGAGCCCCAGGACCCAGTGCTTCCTGTTGGCAAGTCCCTAGTGGTGAACTGCAGTACCCAATGTCCCCATCCTGAGCTCATCACCCTGGAGACATCCCTATTAAAGGAGCTAGTGGGCAACAGTCTGGGCTGGGCAGCCTTTCGGCTCAGCAATGTGACTAGCAACAGCCGAGTTCTTTGCTCCGGGTTTTGCAATGGCTCCCAGGTGACAGGCACCTCTGAGATCACCGTGTACCGTGAGTAGATTACACCTGAAGATAGCATTGACCTTTGGCAGTGGTTGGGGAGGATAGCTAATGGCTTGGGAGAGTGAGAATCTGATTGCAGGGATGAACCAGGGTTCTGACACAGAACCTAGACCAGAACGTGTGTGAGACAGACATGCAGACAGTACATAGTATGCTTGTACAGAAGTTGAGAAATAAGTTTCCCAACAGGCATTTGTAAAATGTTATCTCATGACTTTTATTACTTTTATTTTTGTGGCAGGGAATAAATAAATGTGGCTCAAAAATCAATAACTATAAAAAAGTGTGTGGCTCAGCACCTATGGCTCAAGTGGCTAAGGCGCTAGCCACATACACCTAAGGTGGCGGGTTTGAATCCAGCCCGGGCCCGCCAAACAACAATGATGGCTGCAACCGAAAAAAAATAGCCGGGCGTTGTGGCGGGTGCCTGTGGTCCCAGCAACTTGGGAGGCGGAGGCAGGAGACTTG